ATATATATATATAAAAATATGTATATTCCCTCCCCGTAGCATTCACTTTGAAGCAAAAGGGGGTTCGGCAGTGTAAATGATCTCCAAGACCACATTCTATTGTACAGTATTACTCAGGTAATTTAATGATGCCCTGATTTGTTAGATTCTTTGTCCCTTTGTCACAGAGCTTTTAGATGATGCTTTTCAACTAGCAGAAACAAAGCTTTTGACAAGTATTCACAATCTCTTATTTTTACTGTGGACACTCGACACAAAGGTCTGGTGGTGACCGCTCTCAGCTATAACTGTGGTCAGTGCTAGCTGTGCTCTGGGCATCAGGTATTATACAGAGCTGATTACTTTGAAAATTACTATTTCAAGTTCAGCATCCAAAACTGCAGGATTCATTTGACCTTTATCTTCACGTGCCTCGCTTGTACATTTGATAATGAACCTTCATTTCACAAAAGAAATGGGTGTGAAAATGTTTTGTCAACATTTTTTGGAAATCACTTGTGATTTAGTGAAGCTCTCAGACACTGTAGACATAAATGCTGCAGAAAAGTTCCCACAGAAATTAATAATTCTGTTTTCAAATCAAGGTTTAAGTAGGACTCTGTAAATAAGGTCCACAGCTACAGAGAAAAATAAAACAAAATATTGCATGATGGATCATTAAGTGAGTACCATCCATCATGTGCATTAAAAGAGCAGAGATCCTCTGTGGATTAACACACTTACTGAAAATTGATGTGGATGACATCAAATTGTTTGCATGAACAGCTGAAGAGCAAGTTAGAGAACGATATCAGAATTCACAATGAATTTGTGACATTTAGGGAAATATTCCCCAAGAAAGGCAATATAAAGAAGATAACACAGTTTTACACTCAGGTGGGAATGATTACATGTGCAAATGCAGGGTGGGAAACAACTGATTGGAAGCAACACCACTGAAAAAGTTGAACATGAGCAAGCAAGTGTTGCAACGGAGGTGAAGTGCATTTGTCTGTGAGATGCGTGAAGTGGCTTTAACTCCTGTTGGCACCTGGAAGGAGTCAGAGCTTCCTTTGAGTGGTGGGTCTGGTTTTGGTGCAGCACAGGAAGAAAAGTGGGGGTGACTGCAGACTATCCAGAGAAGAGCAATGAGGATGAGCAAAGGCTTAGAAAAATACCTGTGAGGGACAGCTGCAGGACTTTCAGTTTAAAGGCAGAGAGCAAAAAAACAATGTGAGATGTGATAATAGAAAATAACTAAAATAATGAAAAAGAGTCACAAAGGCAAAGAAAATAAACTGTTCTTCATGTTCTCTCAAGTATGGGAAGCAGAAATGGGTTTACAGGACAGTAAGGAGGCTTTAGACGAGACATCAGAAGAAACTTCCTGACAGTAAAGGTAGTTAAGGACAATGCTAGATGCTGACAGCATTTCTGGAGGCTTCTGAGAACATGCTTGTCAAGTATGCATGAGGAATGACAGATACAAAGCTGATCCTGCCTGCAGTAAGGGAGTGGACTAGATGGTCTCCTGGCCTTTTCTGCTCTATTTTGCAGGTTGTCTGAGAAAAAAAAAAAGTCACGTACTCATCTAACTGTATCTCAGAGTACTTACTTGTACAGGGACTGAGTTAAAGCTCAACAATAATTTTGATTCTGACATGATTTCCCTTTGTAAAGCTTGACTTGTAACCTTAACTTGTACAAAGAAAAAAAGATGGAGTTTGTTGTCTCTACCCCTCCTTCTTTTCTTTGCCTTCCCCATCCCTGGCTCCCTGCTTACAGACCAGTCCAACTTGGAAGGGGGAATTTTCCTAGGGAAGCCAAAAGACACATTCTTGACAGAAAGCTCCCTTCAGCTCCCCTCCCAAGCCAAATTTGTATTCTTGCTGCCATCACAGCCAATTTTTCAAAGATTGTGAAATGTTTTAACATAAACAAATCATATTTTCTTCAGTCTCAGAAAAGTTTGAATAATTTGGGCTGAAAACCCATTTCACCTACTCATTTAAATCTTATAACCTTGTATTGGAGAGCTGGTAGAAGTAACCTGAGTTCAAACTGGCAGACAGCATGGTAAGTCCTTGAAAACACCACTTTATAACAGAAATTTCAGTAACAGACAGAGCTGCTATCCCTCCTATTATAAGTACCAACGTAAGTTCCTGCTG